TTAGTGTGTATGTGCGAGCCGACAAATTTGAGAAGTTTGGCTGAAGTGTATTGGATTCCCTACACTCAGCACTGTGTAAATTATTCAGCGGTGGGATTTTCTTGGTTTGGAAGTTTATTAGTTTAAGCCGCACTGCATGTGGGGGGGATATCGGTCCCTTTCATTTGCCACTACTTGTGGAAAAAAATATCTCCAGGCTAAGCTTTATTTAAGCTTTCAAACTTATTAACAATGACATATATGAAAAGCTATACTAGTATGTATAATACGGATTACTATTGAAATCATAAATAGATGAAAACTCATATGTAAACGTTTTAATATGCATAAACAAACCTGATCTAGTTTATTTAATCTTCCATTGAACTACACTGAAAGGAGGATGCTACATTAGATCACTGCCATACTGGATAATTCTCATTCCTTATTTGCATAGCTCCACTAAAATTATAATTAGCCAGTTATATTTGTTATTCTATTACTATTTGTCATTCTTATCTTTATTCTTCTACAAATTGGTTACAATTTTTTGTAAGAACATTATATATGCATCCTAAAGAACCAAGCTAATCACGCTCGTTGGCAAATTACATAATGGCCATCATAGCATTTTTTTACCAGTATGTTTGCTAATGTAAACAATTCTAAAAGAAATTATGTACTGTTACACACTTTGTTGTTGTGATGTAATAAGAGAAGGCTACAAATACTTTATTACTGTGTTGTCATAAAAAAGGACTACAGATGCTGACTTATTGTGATGTCACAAGAGAAGGCTACACATACTTTATTACTGTGATGTCATAAGAGAAGGCTACAGATACTTTGTTACTGTGATGTCATAAGAGAAGGCTACATATACTTTATTACTGTGATGTCATAAGAGAAGGCTACAGATACTTTGTTACTGTGATGTCATAAGAGAAGGCTACATATACTTTATTACTGTGATGTCATAAGAGAGGACTACATATGCTGGCTTATTGTGATGTCATAAGAGAAGGCTACATATACTTTATTACTGTGATGTCATTAGAGAAGGCTATATATACTTTATGACTGTGATGTCTTAAGGTGTGCCTATAGATTCTTTATTATTGTGACGTCACAAGAGAAGACTGCAGATGCTGCGGTATTGTGATGTCACAAGAGAAGGCTACAAATACTTTATTATTGTGATGTCTTAAGGTGAGCCTACAGATACTTTATTGTTGTGATGTCAAGAGAAGACTACAGATGCTAAGGTATTGTGATGTCACAAGAGAAGGCTACAGATACTTTATTGTGATGTCACAAGAGAAGACTACAGATACTTTGTTACTGTGATGTCATAAGAGAAGGCTACAGATACTTTATTATTGTGATGTCATAAGAGAAGACTACAGATGCTGAGTTATTGTGATGTCACAAGAGAAGGCTACAGATACTTTATTATTGTGATGTCATAAGAGAAGACTACAGATGCTGAGTTATTGTGATGTCACAAGAGAAGGCTACAGATACTTTATGACTGTGATGTCTTAAGGTGAGCCTACAGATACTTTATTATTATGATGTCACAAGAGAAGGCAACAGATACTTTGTTACTATTATGTCTTGAGAGAAAGGTGACCTTTTTGAGTATTTGCTGCGTGTGTATTCCACTAAAAGCTGCTGTCTTGAAGGCTGCTGAGTGAATTATCAGCACACTGTCCATTATGCAGAGAACCTTTTAACATACACTGATATCAAAGATATTCATGAAGTGTCTAAGCATTTGCTCCATTAGGAGAGCACATGGCCCACAGACTCTCAAGTGATGAAGAGCACTTGCAGTTAGCTTCATGCTTTCCCTTGCTGTACACGTTGTAATGCCCAACATCTAGTAACACTAAAAACTGCAGAGGCTGACCTCTGACAAAGAAGAATGATGCCCTTGCGTCAAGCCATCCTGACGCACATTCTGGGTCGATGCTAACTGCGTTTAGGCTTCCAGCGAGGAATGGGGCCTCTCTAGATTAAAGGGTTTGGGCGAACAGGCTGAGCTTGCTGATCTCCCACCATTTCTGGCCAATAACATAATGCAGCTGGTGGCACAAACGGGCAGTGAGTTTTATTCCATGTACATACGGACCGGCTATCCATCAGGCCTGCTTGTAATTTAAGCTAGTGAAAACTAATAAAAGATTAGCACCGAACATTCTACTAATGACAATGGCGCCATTCATAATAATAAATAATGAGGCAGTGTTTTGCTCCGTGGCTGATTGTGCTTCTTTGTGAAAGGAAAATCAAGCCAGAGAGAGCTAATCAATAACGAATGGAAAGCAAGGAGAAAGCCCACATCAGCCCCTTTATTCCTGCAAACTCATTAGAATGGGAGAAGATGAGAGTCAAACTACAGGATTGCTGTATTATACACAAGTGAGCTGTTTATTTTTAACTCATGCCAACACTTCAGATCTCATTTTGTAAAAGGCGTTTGAATTTACAGAACTGAAGGGAATTCTTCATGATCCAGGTGCACCTGGTCTTGAATGTCTGGTGAAAAATGGAGAACACAATCATGTCATGATGAGGGAAAATTAACCAAGAGATGATATAATGAAACAATATAAATCCCTGGTTTGGAAAGGCGGGAATCACCTCGAAAATGTCAACACTTCAAAAATCAACTCCTGAAAGGAGCGATGACAAGACTTCACCCTTTCAGCTGTGTTGTTACGTTCCCCACATTCCAAGAAACTAAATACTTGGAAATGGATTAACAATGATGGAGGACGCCAAAGACTAGGCTGAAAAAAGTCATAGGTTCCTTCTAAGTGTCTCCAAAAGGAGATCTGGAACCACAAAAAATACAGAAAGTAACTGCACCGATAATAACAGAGTTCTTAAGCCGAAAAGCTGTTTTGCAGGTATGTTCTACGAATCAACGTCCAGCTGCGGTCTGAACACTTAGCTTTCACTAAAATGTAACATTAAAGATAAATGGATCTTTTGACTTCAGGTTTTGCCCAAGTAGCTAAAGTCCATCCACCACTCAACAAGCGCAGGGCGGTTTATGTGGAAAGCCAAAAGACACAAATCAAAATCTCTACAAATTTGCCCTGCCTTTCCACCTGATGAAACGATGTAAAACGCGCGCAGCTGTTTCTTGAATTCATTAATTCAGTTTTAAAGGCCTGTCCATAAATGCTTTAGTAATTGCCTATAAATATGGTCCAGTGAGCTCAATGGCGCTCCAATAAAAACCTAACACCTTGGAAACTTCTCTAACCAACTGATAATAGAGCTGAGGTAAACCACCTACAAATGGAAGATCTAAAGAAACTGCTTCGAGACTGTGGACGACTCCAAACTCAAGACCCTGCGTATGCCAGACCACCCTGAAAGTCATGTGTGCATATGAATGGAATGACCCTAATTGCTCTCACACAGCTCACCCATAAGCTGAATTAATTCAATAAATAGGGGAATTTATTTCCTTAATTTTGCAATATAGTGTCTGTAAAAACATCTATATAAAATTAGATTCATGTTAGAATCTCAATAACCCAATTAGAGAATCTAAGTAACACAGTCATAAAATACAATGCTGTAACCATCAAAGACTGCAGTGAAAACTCTACCCTATTAAACTCTATCAAAAGGGCGCCATAAATACCAAATCAGGAATTACTAAAAAAGGTAAATGCAATTATTTTAAAATGTTCTATGTGCTGAGTTGAGTGTAGTAAATGAAGGTATTTCAGTGTTGATCAACATCTCCATCTTGTGGCAAAGACCAGAAATGACCTCAAAGAATAGAACATCCTCAAGCAAAATACTGCCCATACCTCCAATAATAATACAGTCTGTGTAGTTCAACTATTTACTAAAATGTCTCATTAAAAAGGTAAAAACTTCTCTTTTGTGCACACACCTGTGCTACTCACACTTACAGTACTGTGCAAAAGTCAGCGACCACCCTTCATGTACTTAGTTTTCTGTCAAAATGGCCATTAAATACCAGTTTTCATTCAGCCAAAAAAAAAAAAACAGAAAATTACAAAAATGGACAACCAAATATAATATCAATATTCACACTTTGACCAGTTTCTGTCTTTTTCCGTTTTTCAAAGAAATCTGCAGGGATGTTTTTGCACACCTCCAAAATTCAGTCTTAGAAGTTGGTTATATTTACAAGTAATCCCCAAAGACATTCATGGATGAAATGGCCCAAAATTCATTGGAAAAAAAAATAAGTCTGGTCACACTGACTTGCATTAAAAAGTGTTTTTTTCCTTCTCCTGTAAAGTTCTCATTTTGGGGATACAAGGTTTTGTTTGGACAGCAGTGATATGCCAGAGCTCCATACTGATTCCTTGCCCTGTCTTCTTATTTTGTTCAAAAAGCAGACAAAGCTGAATGTGATAAAACAAGACATTAAGTTTTGACTGAAATTCTTAAGGACAATGAAAAAAAAACTAATTTTAGCCATTCGTTCCGGATATCTTGATCTTTGGAAAGCTGCGGTGTTAGATTTGCTTCCCGACAGCCAGGAACAGCACAACGTTTAATGCTCCCCTCACATCTTGCACTTACACACTGTCTGCACTAACAACAGTTGTCACTTCAGGAGGAATTAGCAGGTTAAACTGCTGTAGCCTGAATGTGCGATCATGTCTAAATGCGTTCTTGAATTCAGTGTTGAATTCAAAAGGGGCTGGTTTGATCACAATGAATGACCGATGACTGACTGGGGAATGAAATGAAAAATGAGGATTTTGAAATTAACAAACAATATGAGGACAGTATGTTTAGTTTTCCTTGATATAGGTCTTTTAAAAAACAATATGTAACAATCACACTAATGAGCCTTTTTTCCTAGTTGACTATTTGACAATTTCTTTTTTGCTACGGTAGCAATACTGCAATGTATAGACAGTGAAAGGAATAATATGTATATAAATGCTTCAAATTATTCCAAATTAGATCTTTTTAAAATTTAAATACTGGTCAAGCAACAAAATTCAACTGAATACATTTTTCACTTTTGAAAAGATTTATTTAAGCAATATACAATATGAACACAATACTATGAGATCAAGGTTTTACAGCCTGGGCGGCCCAGTTATCCTCCAGCCCTCCATCTTCCCGACTTTAGTGAGCATGGCCAGCGTCCCCAGACCAAGACACGCTGTTGTACCAGTTACAGCACTATGAGCTATATTGAAAAAAAGGGAAAAGAAGAAAGCACATTATATTTACATTCTGTGGCCTTAGAACTAGATTACAACTAGGTTTTAACATTTTTGTCATAACTGAATTATGCACATATAGTTAACGATTTACTGCTGACTTTTTTTTTTATATAAAACAAGTATCATAGAATCTATATTTTTAAAAAGTAAAAGGTGGCTTCTAGACAATCCCATTCTAAGTAGGTGTTCTATCTGCAGTCCAATCAGTATGCCTGAAACCATACTGGAGCATCTCTTTTGATACTGTTTAATATATATATATATATATATATATATATATATATATATATATATATATATATATATATATTTATATATTTATATATATATATATATATATATATATAAAGAAATAGTCCCTCCAGATTTACCACTATTTTACCATTATAAACATTACATATAAAACTCTGGTGGTTTTGGATGGTCAATAAAACGGCTATACCTGAGTTACCACCTCTGTGAAGAAATCTGAGTTAGTATTCCTTCACTACAACCAGTCATTTCACATCAAAACACTTTGGATGATTTGTTTACTATTCTTCATTAAATTCCCCTTTAAATGCTGACCCATAACTCATAAAACCTGTGCAAATACCTGAGAATAAAATGAATGTAATACAACGAAGTATACTGAAACATCTGCCTTTATATTTAACAACATTTTAAGTATTTATGACATCTGAGATTGAACCTTGAACTGTCTGGTGAAGTTTCTATTTTCGGTTGGGTTTATTCACAGATAGAACATTATAATTCTGGTCACAATGAAAGCTCTTAGAATAAAATTTTTCTATTAGCGTCTGGTCCATCCTGAAAAAGGATATTTAAAAATATCCCAGGAGTTTTTCAGTGAGCAGTCAAAGTATGTCCGTGTTCAAGGCAATGGCTTTGCTAAGGCATGAAAGTAATTTGAACCACATAAGGCTGCTGCTATTTTCAAAGTGAAATATTTGATCCTCAGTATCTCAAAATTGCACTGAACGCAGAACCTTACAATCCTAAGCCTAAGATTTATTAATCTGGCAGACTGTTTTATCCAAAGCCTAAGTTCAGTCCTTGCCTACAGCTATGACAGCTTTGATGCAAGTGCTACACGACTATGTTTCCATTTCAGGAGCAGTGCAAGACCGTGTAGGAGGCAAGAGAGGAGCTTGCAGTGCAAGGCAAAAACCTACAAGGTACGGTAAGTGCAGATAAACATGGTGCAACGTACAATCCACCTATTATTTCTACAGAGCAACGCCTTCTTACTGGACGGCCGCTGTCTTTTAAATACTTACTTCGAGCTCCAAGAAAGACACCAGATGCGCATCCACCAATGAAGTAGTTTGTGGGGTCATCAGGAGCATCCCTAACCTGGGCGCTCAGACAAGTGGCCATTCCAAATATCGCCCCCAGAGACGCTGAAAATGGCACAGTTAAACAGCTCTTATTTCTAGTTCAGCATTAAATATATATTTTGTTTAATTTGTACAGTGATTTTCTTTGGTTATAAAAACATGAAGTCCATGAAGAAGCATGTCTTTGGACAGGAACAATAATCACCATTTTCATATCTCAGTAAATGGAAATTGCATTAAAACATGCATGAATGTGGATCCAATTAAACATATTTTATTGATATTTTGTGAAATTATCAATCAAATCTCAATAGTGTGATTTTATGGCAACATCTGCTGACAGTGGTGCAGTACCTATCAAGAATGGGTGTAAAAAAAGTTTGATTCATTGTAATGTATTAAACCTAAGACATATTGTTTTTGTATTCTACCACTAATTAAGTAGTTCATCTATTCACATTTGTGCATTTTTGAAAATAATTTTGTTTAACAACAAGAAATTTATTTGAACTGAACAGTTCTGATTTTTGAGATGTAATGATACATTCAATTTCCTAAAGAAACAAATTCAAACAATCATTTTGAGGTTAGACACCCTTTACACCCCTAAGCACCAGTACTTCATGCACCCCTTATACAAACCTCAGCTCCAAAAAAGTTAGGACAGTTTGTGAAACACAAAAAACAGAAAGCAGTGGTTTGTAAATCCACTTTGGCCTGTATTTAAGCAAAAACAGTACAAAGACAAGATATTTAAATGCTTGTTTTTTTGTAAACACTCAATTGAAATTGACGCCTGTAACCCACACCAATAAATGTTGGGATGGGGCAAATTAAGACTAGGAACAAGTTTAAAAAAAATCTTAAACAGGTGATACAATCATACTTGGAAGTAAAAACAGCAGGCCTGGTCATGATGAGCAAGGATGGGTCGAGGCTCGCGGCTGTGCCAAAAAAAAAAAAGTGTCAAAAATCCAGTCGTTTAAGAAAAACATTCCTCAATAAGTGACTACGGTTCACACTAAGGATTTTAGGTATTTCACCTTCTACTGTGCAGAATATCATTAGAAGGTTCAGGGAATGAGGAGAAATCTGTGGTAATGGCAGGAAACCCACAACAGCCTGTGAACTTCAGTCCCTCAGACGACACTGTATTAGAAACCATCATGCTTTTGTGATGCATATCACCATGTGGGTCATCATGGTATGTCAGTGTATTATTACCCGTGCTCTGGGCACTATGCACATCTATGAAGGCACAAATTACGCTGAAAAATATATACACTATTTGGAACAGCATATGCTGCCTTTTAGACAGCATCTTTGACAGGGAAGTCCATGTTTGTTTCAACATGATGAAGCCGCTGTATGTATTCTGTATGCATTATAACAGCATGGCTGCATAACCAGAAAGTGCAGGTACTAGACTGGCCATCCTGAAGTCCAGGCCTGTCTCTCACTGAAAATGTGTAGTGCATTACGAAGTTCAAAATACAACAATGATGGCCCTGCATGGCTGCACAGCTGAAGACTTATAAAACTGAAGATTGTCAAAATAAATTCACTTTCAAAACTGGATAAATTGGTGTCTTTAGTCCCCAAATGATTACTAAGTGATGATCAAAGAAAAAGTGATGTAACACAACGGTAAACATGTTCTTGTCCCAACGTTTTAGGAATATGTTGCAGGCCTCATATTTGGAATGAGCAAAAAATCAAATGAAATAAAAAAAAAACATTGTGAATCTGTACTGTTTTTAATGTAATACAGCTCTAACAGAATGTACTAATCACTGCTTTCTGTTTTTTATTAACCTTGTACTAAATCTTTTTTTTTTTATGGTATTTTGGAGGTTTGTATTACTCACAGATTTCTGCTTTGTATCTTAAAAAAAATACCACTGTGGTGGTTTTTCATACTAGTCTACAAATTATGACACAGGACAATAGTAACATGTGCTTAGTATGTGGGTTGGGTTACACAGCTTTACTGATATAAAAAGCACAGTTAAACCAGAAAAGGTCACTATAATCGTGTAATGGACAGAGCAAAGTTGTCCAACTACCCCCCTTTGGTAGGAAACAGACTCTTAAAAGAAATGCAGTCACATAGAAACAGCTTGAACAAACAACAAAGCAAAAACAGTTAAATAGGCGATGGAAATGAATAGGCAATTTCGCTCCAAATTAATGTTAACAATATTATTTACATACCCATTGTGACTGTGCCATTTGCTGCCCTTGCCAGAGCTTCAACTGCAGTCTCAGGCTGGAAAGCCACAATATGGTACGCTGAGCCAACAAGCCCTGAATGGGAAAAAACATTAAATGTTATACACAGATATCGAACTGGGTATTCAAATAAAACATGTATTGTTTGGAATTTAAAAAGAAAAGGAAAAATAGATTAACTTTTTGTTATCTACACCAAATCTGCCCTTGTTGATCAAAACAATCTAAAATATTTTGGAGATTGTTAAAATAGGACAAAATGAAAACTGAAAATTGTTAAAATTGGACAAAATACACACTGCATGGCCAAAAGTATTTGAGCACTAATGCATCTTGGACATCCCCTTATAAAACCATGGGGACTAATATGGAATTTCCACTGCTCCAGAGTCCAGTGGTGGCGGTTTTATTTCGCTCCAGCCGACACTTGGCATTCAGCGTTTTGATCTTAGGCTTGTGTGCAGCTGCTCGGCCATGGAAACCCATTTTATGAAGCTCCCAAAGAGCATTTCTTTTGCTGATGTTGCTTCCTGAGGCAGTGTGGAACTCTGCAGTGAGTGACAGGCACTGTGCATTTTAGCCCTTGGTGGCCCCACTCTGTGAATCTGTGTTGTCTACCTCTATGTGGTTGATAACACTTACAGTTGACTGGGACAGATCTAGCAGGACAGAAATTTCACACACTTCGACAGTGCCATGTTCAAAGTCACTGAGCTCTTCAGTACAACTACTGCCAATGTTTGTCTATGGAGATTGCCTGGCCATGGGCTTAATTATATCCTTGTTAGCAATGGTGGTGACAAACACCTGAACTCAATAGCAAAGGGGTGTCCACATACTTTTGGCTATATAGTAAACTTAGGTGACTGGCAATAAACATGAGGGCACTGCCCAAGTATAACCTGTGTGTGGAGAGACACTGCAAAACATTACTTAACATACTATTCCCTCCCCAGCCCATGATCTGTATATAGAAACTACGCTTTAAAAATGGCTCTTGTGAATTCATTACTTTTGTCATGTAACAAAAACCAACGCATTTACATTTATCCACCTATTCAACCTAAAGCAGTTTAACCCCGCCCATTCATGCTGAAGTTACAAGGTGTGTTTTAACCTGGGCTGCTTCTTGAATTAGGCATAATACTGAGCATTCAATCATAACAGGGGCCATTTACATATATCAGTCTTAAGGCAGGGTAACAAAAACTAATGTAAAAATTAACACAAAAACATCATGAATGCACGCTTGATTCTAGTGGACGTATCCTGTGGATGTACAGAATTTCAGGGAGGAGGATCATTTGGCCCACAAATGATCATACAGTCACACAATGAAAATGAAATAAATAAAAATAAAAAAAAATAAAAATCTTCTGTCTTATTCCTGTTGGTTAGCTTACACCAGACACAGGACAGAAAAACTTCTTGACATCAACCTGCATAGGCAGCTATCTGGAATATTTAACATTAAAGGGGAATTCCACCGATTTTTCTAAATTTTTGCATAACTGTCGTTGTGATGTAAACAAAGTCATTTAGAGTGGTTCTATGTAAAATGGCTTGTTGCACAGAAAGTTACAGCCTCTTTACAGTGGTGGTGATAGGGACCGGGGTCACAATGTCTACAGCACAAATACAGCCATTTTATTTACCATCCAAAACCACGAGAAAACATGTCTTCTAGGTTTTTATATGTAATGTGTATGATGGTAAAATGGCGGAAAATCTGAAAGGAATATGTTTTTGGGGGACTATTTTGCCTTACAATGCCCTGCATGTACCTCTCTGCCATTAATGGATTAAAATAAAAGGATTAATGAGACATTTTAGGCCAAACCTTACAACAAAACTAGCTACTGTACAACAACGTCTCAGGCATCAGACAGCGTATTCACAGCCATTTTGTGTACTAACGTTCTGTAAGGGAGCTTTTAGAGGCATTAAACTATTCAGAGGTCTGGTTCCACCACTGGGAACAATTCTGACTCAGTATCTAAGTTTCTCTAGAACGGAGCATTTCAGATCAGACCACTCTGAATAACTTTGTTTACATCTTAACCATTTAATTACGCAGAAATGAAAAACTGGTGGAGTTCCCCTTTAAGCTGAGAGACAGGTAAACTGTCTAGAGAACATTAACGTTAGGGGTCTGAGGAAATGTTTATCAGACGTGCAGCCACTATGTTTGATACTGTTATTGTCACCTTAAACTAAAACACATGCTTAGGTTTTTTTACTCAGCGTGAAACCACAACGAAGAGGACGACGAAGTTGACGTTTTAAACCGTTGTGTCATTTCTGTCACTTGTGCAGCGGAGAGTTAACGTTAATGTGGCTCGTTAGCTCGGCGCTAACAGCGAACCTTTACACTGAACAGACTGCAGAGCGCAGAGAGAGACCGGTCTGTTCACACACACACCAGCAAAACAGAGACTCTGCGACAGAAATATGCAGCTTGCTCACCGAGGGCAGTGCCCAGCTTGGTGGTGATCCATGTTTTCTGCACACAGTCTTTACCCTCTTCGAGGTCCCAGTAACCCATCGTGGAGTGAACAAGGACACTGACTGTTCTCGCGAGACTTCAGCTAGGCTGTTTCGAGTGTTGACCGCTGTTGCTCATGAGCAGCACGTACTGCCGCTTATCGGCTGGGAGTCTGACTGTGTACAGAGTTTTTCTTTATCATGATGTAAACAGTCATGCTTGGGATGTAATGGAATACCAGTATTGGTAATACATATTCAGAACCCAGAAACGAATCATCAGAAATTCAGCAGTATTCTGTCAAGTTACATTTTGTAAAGGCAGTATTCAGAATAGTGCTCACCGCCCCTAGTGTGTATGTGGTGTTTCGTTGCATGGATGGGTTAAATGTGGAGGTTAAATTTCCCTGTTGTGGGTAAATGAAATTGTCAAGATTCATTCTAAATATGTTCCAAGACAATGGTTCAATAAAGAACCAAGAACACTTAAAGAACTATTTCCATGCTTAAAGTGTTCTTTGCATGGTGAAATCGTTCTTCAGATTGATGGAGAATGTGTTGTATAAGGTTCTATACCTTTTTGAAAATGGTTCTATAGAGCACCAAACAGGGTCATTCTATTATTAGAAAGCTGATATTGTAGGTCATTTTGAAAGTTTAACCTTGTTACAAATTATAGATTAAAATGAATTATTCATTTATGAAAATAATTTGAAGTAAACCATTAGTATGTCCTGGGTCCTCATGTCAGTTTTAATTTGGATAAAAAATAGTGCACCTTACAAAACAGGTTAGGTGTGGATGTAACTCAGCAAAACTCACAACAGCAAAACTCACAACTCTTCTCTATCAAAATGACTAAAAATGTTGGCTACTTCTAGCTAACGATCGCTGTAGCTAGCATGTAATGCTAACTCCAGTAAACACGTTTGTGTCTTTCTATTGAAAACTCAATAATAATAATAATAATAATAATAATAATAATAATAATAATGCATATAGCATCTTTCATTCAGTTCAAAGGGTTTTACCGGGTATTAAAAGAAAAAAAGTGACATTCAGGATAAATAAGGAGAGAAACAAGAAAACAGACTTTTCATAAAATACATTTTATAAATTAATAATGAAATAAAATAAAATACAAAAATGCAAATAATATTTCCACAGCAGTATGCTACAGGGGGTCTTTTGGGTCCCTTGTCTGGGGGAACTTGCCAGGTCTAAGTTTACATTTTCACTTCAAAAGAAAAAAAATGCTCTCCAAACTAAATAAACTGCTCTTATTTGAACAATGTTAACCTGCTCAGTTAACCCAACATTTTTTCTTTGCATCTTTCTTAAGGGATTTATTAGGGAGTAATTGTGATTAAACTATAGAAAATAACGCATTAAAACTTAATATTAGCGCGTTATTCATCATAAAATATCTTATTTATTATCACTGTGTTCGTTTTACTTCACACATTTTTTTTCCAAAGTCATGTTGTATCTGTGTGACTTTGCTCGGCTCTGTGGAGCTTCACTTCCGGGCCGCAGTAGCCACAGGTTGCTCGCTTGTTGCCAAGGAGCCGTAGCGACCTGAACACGTCAGCGGGGTGAACAGAAACAGGGCAGTTATTTGTGCACAGATTGTAGCGGGGAAATTTCATTAATCATGTTAGAATCGCCTTTTCGTGCCTAAGAGTTGTGGCTAGAGAGCAGTCGAAGCCTTCCTGGGTAGGTTGGTGGGCTCAGTGCTTAAAGGCGAGGCTGGGAAAGGCTAAAAATTGAGCTAGTTAGCTAGCTAGCAGGCTAGCTAGCTACGCTAGCTGAAGTTCCTGTCAATGAAACGGAGGTAAATTCAGCTTTTCCCCGCGCCCGTGACTCAGCTAACGTTAACTGCAGGCTGGAAATCGGGACCAGGAGGGTAAGCTGCGTCGACGTAATGGAATATATGTTGAGAGATACTTAGTTAACCCTGCTAGCTGTCTGTCAGCCCCAAGAGCAGCAGAAATGACGTACAGCCTCCCCGCGGCCAGGCAAAGTAGTAATAATTATTAATCGACTGCCTTCTGGGTTTCTAAATACTGCTCGGCAGGTTCTGTGACATGTCGTCTCCATCGCCGGTGCAGATCAGGGAGGCGAATGCGCATTTGGCTGCTTTGCACAGGCGAGTCGCGGACCTTGAGCAAAAACTGGAGGCAGCAGAGAAGACGGTGAGGGAGCAAGCGGAGAGCCTGATTCGGAAAGATGAACAGCTGAGGGCTGCTACGCAAGAAATAACAGAGAACAAGGACAGGTAAAAGAAAGGATATTGATGACCACAGCACTGCAGAGTTTAGCATTCCGCCCTATTTAACTCATCAGCTGATTATGAAGGGCTTAATGAGCTGAATTCAGAGTTTTAGGGTGTAATCCTGGCAGGCCTGTGGCCCTCCAGGACTTGAGTTATGATCTTGAGCACATTGTGCAGGATATGATAGAGCAGTAGCTTTTGCATATCTCTGTATGAATGCTGGTATACAGTGCACAACCAGTGTGGTTGGTATGTGTGGTCAACATTAGTGATTCACAATGATATTGGAATGTTACTGGTATCAGCAGATATTTCCCTTTAAACAGAAGTGGCATCGGACAGATGTTTAGATTTGACCGATATTTGATGACATGTTTATTGCAATGCAGAAGAACAGAATGTGTACATAACGCTGGGGTAATATACTAAATTGTCTGCATTTTATTCATTTTGATGCCTCTGTAACCTTGTAGAGGTATGTTACATTTGTCTGTAACACTAATCCAGATGGCTCTAGCTCCAATTTATATATTTTATGAATGTGTCTGCATCGGCAGATACGTGCATGAAAAATATCGGAAAATCGGCATCAGTCCGCAATTTCTATGTTGCCGCATCCCTTGTCAATGTGCTTGATTTTTTCCCCCTTCAATGAATTTGACTCTGCTCATCTGCATTCTCATGTTCCCCTTCATTTGACCAAGGTGCCTAATTGTGTGTTTTCCTCTTTTTCAAGAGAGATTTCCTACTTCCATGAAAAGCTTTGTCAATCAGAGGAATCTATTCAGAAACTCCAGCATATGGTCAAGGAGAAGGATTCCTTAATCGGCCAGTTGCAGCACCGCTGTCAGCTGCTGGACAACATCTGTAAAAGCCGTCCCTTATTAGACAGCATGTTGGCCCAAATGGCAGAGGCGGAAAGAATGGGGCCCATCGTTGACTTGTGCAAGCCTACAGCAGACACATCACTTACTGATGGAGAGTCCAACTGCAGCCCTAGTGGTCTCTCCAATCACAAAGACTTTTCACTCAGCGAGGATGATGTGGATGATCAGGAGCTGGATGGCGTAGTCTTTGGAACTACAGTATGAAAAGAAGAATGGAACTTTTATGTTTTCACAGCTTTGGGTGTTGGACAAGGAGAAAGACTGGGTATGCTGAGGGTTAGCCTGCATTTGATTCGGTATATATTTTCCATACAGCAGTGTATCCATACTGTACATCTACCCTTCATTACAGTAGCATGAATGTGATTCAGCAAGCTGTTCCCATGCCATTATCAGAGCTGTTAACAGAGCTGTGCTGAGAGAACGTGATTAACCAAGATGGCCTAGAACTATGTGCAAAGTGATGTAAAGTTTTATTTTCTGAATGGATGCATCACAGCCCATTTACTTTTATTTCATATAGTTTTACTGGAAAAGTCAACGTATTTTTAAATTTTGATGTAAGGTTCGCCCAGCAAAACTTTAAAGGCCTTTAAAGTCTTTTTTCTTTGCTAGGCTGCCATAATTTGCTAAAAAAAGAAGGAAGCTTAGGGAGCCCATTTTGCTCCTCAGAAAGGAATATTCCAGTGTTTTCAACCTTGTCTGTGTCTGCCACGTCTGTAGCGTGAAATCGATCACCACAGACAACAATTTTGACGTTTCCCTGCACTTAAAACAAACAAAACCTGTTGTATTAACACACATAAGGGATTTTCACACTTGTCCTGAATGTTTGAGTCAGCTCCTGGGACTGATTCTGGGGCAAGGGTTTAATAATCACAGGCTTTACTATAACAGAGTTTGTTCTGAACCGTGGCTTGATTGCTCAATTCCATACGTCACATTCATGTGCCTATTTTTTTGCAAAATGGTAGTTAGCAGGTTTGTCCAGGGATGGCAACTGACAATAGGCTCGTATTTTTTATTTCCGTCATGATTCATGAGTCAGCTAACAACATGATGAGCAGCCGTTACTGGATGTGTGGCATGTTCTCATGCAGGGACCTGCAAACAAGGAGCCAAAGATTTTTAGACGTTGGGCAGCACGAGACGAGCCTTTTTTACAAAATTTTCACCGCTTTCCATCCCCTTCCCCACCATTACAAAACTCAAAACAGGGAATAACGACAAAATTAACTCGACATACACTGCTTAAGTTGACCCCAGACCACTATTTTCAGGGGGACCAGAGCTTTCTGGACTACTCCTGGGCTAAAACAGCTTTCACAGTCCGCCAGATGTTCCACACTCCTGGGGCACACAGCCGCAAACCTGGTAAAAAGCGCTTGTGTCAAAAATGGCCATATAACAGAAGCTAATGGGGCATGTGCCCCATTGGTTTCCATGGTATATACGTTTTTTCTCCTTTTCATTTATTTTGCTGTTACGCGTCAGAATTGTCCATGACAATCAGCTGCATGCTACAGATGCAGCAGATAGAGACTGGGTTGGAAATAAGTGAGAGCATTGCTCCAAGTGCCTTGCTCAAAGGTACAACTGAAGTGGCCCCGGGAAGGGCAACAGCATTTGAAGCTGCAGCTCCGTGGTCTTGAATGAGCACCCCTTGGTGTCTCATCAGCCGTTTCATTCAGTAACCCCTTTTGCGCTTATTCTTTTCATTAATACATCATTGATCAGGTCAAGTAAATATCAGATAAATGGTTACAGTTTTAGTATAAATATCAAAGGTTACTGTTACTGGGCCACGTCAGTCTATCTGCCAGTTTGTGATGTGATGAAGGTAAACCATAATGCTGTCTGGAAAGAAATCTGATTGCAAATAATGATCCCGTCCCTGCAGCTTTGTGTAATTGCGATATTATTTCTCTTCCTTTGATGTCAAAACAGGACACGTAAGTCCTGTATGCCTGGGTGTGGCAGTGATTTCTCAGTCGCAAAATCAGTTTTATTTTCGGTTGCATATTTAATTTAGTACTTTTGAAATCAAGTCTATGCAAGTTTCAATATACTTTTTGTGTGTCCGTGGGTATCATTTGGAAAAAGCAGTGATTATGGTCATCTGGTCAGACTTTTGGATTGTTTGTTGCATTAGTCCTTCAGAAAGACTCATTCAAGTTGGTAACTGTTGCACATATTCTGATAGTGTCTCAATCGTCCTATTTTGAACATTACAACTAGAAAAAAAAATCTGTTCAATATCTTCTTGGTTTTATGCAAAGGTAAAATGTGCTATTGCATCATGGCACAGTACTTGTGTTATCAGGGCATGTGTGTCTTGTTATTGCCCAGTATAAGAGTGTACGTATGCTACCTTTTATTTTCTACAGAGTTAATTGGTGCCTCAAAAACATGGTCAGTTGGTCTATGGAACTATTTATTCTGATTATATCTAATAAACTATTTTGTTATTCTGTGATGACTGATTTTGTGATGACTGATGTTTAGTATTACAATTTTCTGTTCAGAGGTGAAAAGTACATTTTTCAAAATGTTAAGTACCTTCAGTTTCAGTGGTGGAACTGTTATTGTACTTATTATAATTAAGCATTATTTCAGAAGATTTGCACTTTACTCAAGTATTGTTAAAATTGAATAGCTGCACTTTTACTCAATTACGTTTTACTTTAAGACCTTCAAAAATAAATCAGATTTTTTCTCTTGCCAATCAGTTAAATTCCCCACACATTTTAGTTTATGAAATTCAATTATTAAAAACATCCACACAAATATTTATCAGTGTAAAATTAAACTGAGGACAAGTACTAAACAACATACCATAAAAAAATAAAACTTAATTTATTTGATGAAACATACTCTGGAGGATAGTTAAATGTTGGTAATTGTTTGTTTACTTCCACTTTTTATTAAGACTTTGGAAAACTATCCATACGTTCATTTACATAAACTTTCTTTGTATTGTTTTACACCCTGTTCAGCTTCCAGAATGCAAATCTGTGTTAGTCTGGCCTTGATGAGGCATGTAGAGATGCACATTAATATCAGAATTGCTCAAAAATATTGTCATTGGATAGATGTTTAGGTTTGATTGATGCCTGATGTATTTATTGTTCTTCAGAAGGGCAGAACATTCAGGCAATGCTAAGCTACTATGCTAAAATGCCTGCATTTTAATTCATTTTACAGCACTTGTAACCCCCTAGAAATGTTATATTTCTCTGTAATACCAATCCAGGTAGATGTAGTCCCAATTTTTACATTTTATAAATGTGTATGGATCAGCCTCTGCACATGAAAAATATCAAAGATTGGCACTGGGACACAATTCCCATATCATTGTGTCCCTAGAGCTAATGCAACTTATTGGTGGAGGTATTTTCAACTTTAACATCTTGCATCATTGCTGTCAAAGCAATGAAGGAAAAAAAAAAATAGTAACTCTTTAAGAGAAAAGAAGAAGAGATGTAAACAATGTTAAGGGACCCTTTAGATATATAGTTTTTGGTATGACAGTGATATTTTAAACAAAAAAAAAAGAAAGGAAAAAGAGTAAGAATGCTTCAATGCACATTCTGCATTTACAAACACTCCAGTAATACAAAACTTTGACTAGCCATGGTGGCAGCACCAACATACAAAGAAAGTCCAAACATCACCATATTGATTACATGGTCATCTTTATTTATTTATTCATCAGATACAAAATATTTGTTCACAGGATAAAGGAACAGATTCTTCATTTTAGCTTAAGCAATGGATGCTGGGGTCGGTAGTGAAACATTAAATAAAAGAAAAAGAAAAGTGCTTTGCATTACAGATCATAGATCCACAAGCCAACTACAGCAAATCAATGCATCACTGTGGCAGCAGCACCTTTCCTCTCCCAATGCAGTTGTGGAAGCCTTTGGTGCCATCAGGTCCCATTGGCTGGCGCACAACTAGCACTCCAAGCGGCCTATTCATCTGACTGGGTGACATGGGCCAGCTTTTCTCTGGATGGAAGGCTTGGGCAGCATTTTTACGCCGCTGGACCCACGGGCTCCCCACATACCCTGCGCTGTCCTGGGAGTAATCCCCTGAGGATTTGCTTCTCTTGCAAATTGAACTGATGGATGAGGTAGGAGTGCTGCTCAACACTGGTGTGGCCAGAGGGGAGGTGGCATGGCCTCCAGGGAATAGCTTGCGGGGCAGGAGAGGGCTCATAACGGGACTGCTCAGAGGGTTCCTGTAAGGATCACAACGGAAGGTAGACACCCGAGGGATGGCCAAGGGGCTGCCGTACATGGCCTGTGGGCGGGAGACTCTCCGGTTAGGTCGTGGTGAGGCTGGGGCGAAGTCTGACTCAGAGGAGCTGTAAAGAGCTGAATCTTCCAGAGTGTAAGGATTCCTCTTGACTTTCCGATTTGGCTTTTTGGAACCATCGTTCTCAATGCCCTCCTCCGACTCCTCTTCTGTGCGGCTCTGACTAGTCCCTGGCTTCCGTGTGCCACGGCTACCAAGGAGAACCACTCGAATGCTCTTCCCTCCATGCAGCTGTTCCCCGGCTTTGAGGGCTTCATAGGCTTTGCGAGCTCCATCCAAATACTCGTACTCCACTACCGCACACAGTTTGCGCCCAAGCTCAGTGTGCTTCTTGGCATAGCGTTTGAGCCCAGACGGTATCTCCTTACCTGGGCGAAGGATGCGAAGGGAAGTGATTGTGCCATATGAACCGAACACAGACATGGTGGTCTCCATGAAGCCCTGCTGCTGCTCTGCTCCAGATGACCCACCATCTTCTACCTCTGCAGAACTGGTGTTGTCCAGGAAGTTCCATGCCAACAGCAGTTTAGTCGTAGGGATGCACAGCAGCCAGTCAGGAACAGGGGTTCTCCGTCGCACCTTGGTGCCCACCTCATTCACTTCAAGCTGCTGAGAGGTACGCGCTGCAGCCAGCGTTGTGCGCCAGTCACGCGTGAGCTCTCTGATCTAGCAAAAGACAGTCCAACATTATGTCCCTTGATCAGCATATCAAAATATGGATAACACCTTGCTGTACTTAAGACTTATTTTTTACTCTTAAAATGATATATTTAGACTGACCTTTTTGAACGAGGTCATCAACTTCAGGCTCACATAACCCATCTTGTTCCTTTGGATGTGTTTTAGCAGGAAGGCATCGCTCTCCAGGTTCTCATCAGAAAGGTAGTGCTCAAGCTGGGCAGCTATTTTCTGCCTCAGTTCACTTGGTGGTGGAGTCCAGGCCTCAACCTCACATCCTTCTTCTTCAAACACGTCAGTCAGCTCTGTCGAACTTCTGGAAATCAACATTTATTTGTAGCTTGAAAACAGGCTAGCATAATGACTAGCATAATCGCTGCTGCCAGAACAAAACCTTGTAAACCTGTATCTCCAAAAAGGTAACTTTACAGGCAAAGGAAAAACATTAACTTTTAATGGAGATAAATGGAGAAATATTTATTTCAGAGTAAGTTTGGACCATTTATGTAGGTTCATTCCTCATGAAATTGACACAACATGAAGGGCAAGTAATTTTTTTTCAAATTATGTCAAAAAACAACCAAACCTTCATAAAACTAAGCCATTTCTGCTAGAACAACCAGCATGGCTGATCACCAGCACAAACCAGCGTATGTTGTGTTAGTATGCTAGTCAACCAACATGACGGTGCGGGGTGACCAGCTAAACCAGCACCAGACCAGACCAGACCAGACTGGAATTCATGCTGGATTTTTCAGCAGGGATTGCAGTTTGAATCCATTAAAATCACCAGTGCTGTTTCATAACAGCTTAAATCTTACCCGTCCAAACTATCATTCAGTCCATCGTCAGTGTATGAGAACAGGTCTTTCGAGTGAGCACCGTCCTCGCAGTGGAAGATGTCCGTAAAAGTGGGTGAAGACATACTGCGGACAGAGAGCTTCTTCAGACATAATACAGCTTTTCGGCTGAGGAACAGACAAAAGAGGCCAAAATTACAACAGGGCAAAATATTACTGCTGTCGAAACAGCCACTGCTAACTTTGCCAACCTGGAGCCTCCCACCGGCGGGCCTCCCTGCGTCGCCGCACGAGCCCAGCTGAAGCTCATTCGAACGTTCATTTTAAATGTGCACACGTCACAATTGAACACTTGCGCCTACTGGGCTACGTCATAAACGCTCGCGAACAAAACGGCCTTGCTAAAAGTTACCATGAATCATCATAAACGCCTGAGGGGATAATAATAATAATAACAACAACAACAACAACAACAACAACAATAATAATAATAATAATAATAATAATAATAATTATTATTATTATTATTTCTTCAAAAATAGCTTATTTTATGAGAAGAGCCCAGTCATTTCCATCCCTGCTAAGTCATTAATCAAACCTAACAGAGCCACTTCAGAGCTAAGTGTTTTTCAGGGGCGTGCTGAGGTGTCACGTTGAAGCTCTAGACAGCCTCTAGAGGGGTCTAATGGTGTGGATTCCAGATGAATAGGTACTACAGGGGGTCTCATAGCGGACAATAGTGGGACTACCATCCCAGTCTTGGCCTATTTTTCCAACTAGCTTCCTGACCTTAGTGTTGTGAGATGGCCATTGCTCACTTGTGTAATCCTCTTGACCTGCACGTGTAGAAGGCAGTCTGCAGCAAGGCCATGTTTATGTGGGGTCAGGCCGACAGCACATTCCCTGCGGTTTCATACGAACAAGAAACGTTCACAATACAAATTCAGAATAGCCTACGCACGGAAAACCCGCACTGAGCTCGATCATTTCATTTCAAGACATTAAGCATATTTTTTCTGACCAAAATTATATATATCTGATTACATTCGTGTTTTGGTGTAATATTTCTGTTGCCGCCTGGTGGCACTATCTGACCAGAAATCTCTATGCTTTATTAGAAACGCTGACTAATTCTTGGAAAACAACACTCATAGCCTAGATAGGCATTACTCTTAGTGTGTATTTATTTATTTATTTATTTATATTTCGAATAGTATTCCCTTCTGAAAAGGGATAATCAGTATTTAACCCTGATGGTTTTGCTTTCTAATGGGAATTGCTTAACATTAGAGACTACTAATTTCCTGCACACATTTAGGTCCCAATAGGAAACCATCCAATGCATCTGGAATTAGTCCCAGAACGCCTGTTGAAGCCTTTTACACTGTAATATCAACCCATCAGGAAGACACAAAATACCATTACTCGCCATTGGACACCACCAGAAACTTCTCATGGCTTTTATGATTTTTTTCCTATAATGATATATATGCAAAGCAACATGTGGCATCCACTAGGGGGCGTCAGGAGTTTGTGATTTGATTTCATGAAACTCAAAGTACACTTGCGCTTATAAAGTATAAGGTTGTTACAATTTGATGCACAAATTAATCCGACTGATGCACATCAGTGCCAAAGTACACGCAAAGGACTCTTAGGTTTGTTAGTCGGGGACTTTTATTAAGCAGCCTCATTCTGCATAATTAATTAAGCTTGTAAAAGACGCCGTCCTCATTAATAAACTGACCTTCCCGAGTGTGTTTACGTGGGGTCAGACGGAGAGCACAACAACAACAACCTGCAACATCAACATCGGGAGCAGGCGCCTATAATTAGAGCTGCTGGAACCAGAACAGCGAGTGATGAAAGTTCCAGGTAACAAGGATAAACTCCACCACCTTCTAGAGCCTCTGCGCGCCGTCCAGACACTCGGAGCTTCGTGCAAAGTGACTGTACAGCCAATAACCCTGTAATGAATGTGGCACCCAAACGACACTTTAGTTTGAAATGAACAGTCAAATCTCAGCAACTTGCTCTTTATTCAACATGCTATTTCATGAGGAGCTCTTTTTTTAATGTAACCCCAAATCTTACAATCTTATGCAAAAGTGATCTGTACCGTTTCATTCCATTATTTATATCGTATTCATTCGATATGGCTCACATGAAGGCATCTCAAAACTATGTACATGCAGAATAGACCTACATATTAATTTCTGATCCAGTACATAATATGCATGATAAGAATACATAGAATCATGTCTTAAAATATAATAAAATAAAATAATTTGCATGATGCGATGTTTTCGATTTTCAGCAATGCCTGCACTCCGTGTAGAAGAGAAACTTAGGAAATTCCACGGGACTCTATAGTGGCATAAACAACCAGACACCGAGATGGGGGGGGGACAATCTGCCCACGTGGGCTCTAAACAGGAGTCTCTACAAACAGCCAATAGCCGGAGAGTCGGAGTGGTTTGCTGACGCCTTATAGCCAATAGGAGAAGCGCGTGGAAACGGGCCACGCCTCGTCATCCAGACCAGATATAAACGCTGAGTTTCGCTGATACCCGGCAGAAGACGCTTGTCGAGCACAAGGAACGAGACTAACGAACAGGATAAACTCGAGCGCAAAGGAGACGCGTTTGGATTACTATCTATCTTGCCTTTTCGTCCACACGTTCGTACTGGATTTTGTGATTTTGGAGTCCTTCTTGAGACGTTTGGATTATTATCTCCACACATCATGACTCTGGAAGAAGTCGTTGGATGCGATATGGCTGACCAAAAGTAAGTTACTTTGAGTTCGCTAAGTATTTTGTAGGCGATTGCATGCATTAGAAACAGCCACCCATCCCGAGTATCATTGTACTCAGTGCCTAAAGCCAGATGCAAGTTGCTTATCGAGTTTGCATTTTTCTTCTAGAATGGAGACCGTGAGCCAAGCTTTAGAAGAGCTGCTGGTTGCAGCACAGAGACAAGACTGCCTGACCGTGGGGGTTTACGAGTCTGCAAAGCTAATGAATGTGTAAGTATACTCACCTAAAACCTTGTTTGAGCAACCCATCCTTTTTCATGCCATTTCCAGAGCGTGCACTATGGGCGCAAAACTTAATTCGCCTTGTCTTTTCTCCCTCTCAGGGATCCAGACAGCGTGGTATTGTGCGTGCTGGCCACTGACGAAGAGGACGAGGACGATATCGCGCTGCAGATCCACTTCACGCTGCTGCAGGCTTTCTGCTGCGAGAACGACATCAATATCCTGCGCGTGTCCGGCTTGCGGCGCCTCGCGCAGGTCCTGGGCGAGCCAAGTGCCGTGGACGTGAGCGGCAGCACCGGCGGCAGCAGCAGCAATAGCAACAACAACGGCGAGCCTAGAGACTTCCACTGCATCTTAGTGACTGTAAGCATCGACTTTCACCTTTGTTTATTGGCGATATTTGAAGCTGAACTGCTTAACTGTAACAGGCGAGAAGTGCTTGGCCCCCTTAGCATTGCATACCGTAATACACGTAATAGCAGTAACCTTTCGCATGTTCTAGCTCTTAGCCCGGTGAATCATGCAGGACTCCCCCGCCTGAGCTTATGCGCTAGCTGTTAGCCTTTAGCCGCTATTTGCATACACTTTCAATATGATGCGACCAGTTACAAGAACAGGTTGACTTAATGTCGTTCCTTTTTCTTACAGAACCCTCAATGCCAGCCTCTCAAGTGCCAGGCGCTCCAGGAGGTGGGCAACTACTGCGACGAGAGCCGCTGCAGGAACCAGTGGGTGCCGTGCCTGTCTCTGCGCGAGCGCTGAAAGCTGACCGGTCGGCGCGTGGGAAAAGGAAGATTTCAAAAGAAATGAGCGATCAACCGCCATTGCAAACCCGAGAATGCAAAAGGGGGGCTTTTTGTGTTTTTGGTCACCGCTCTGCATCAGCCAACGGCGACGAGGCTGACGAGAGAGAGAGGGAGGAAAAGTGCGCTCCACTCTGCAGCCCTGATTCCGTCCTCCGCGTGAGGGAGGTAGTGGTGGAGGAGGAAAAGGAGGGGGAGGAAAGGCCGTGGTGGAGCGAGCGCGCGCCGTGGTGGAGGAGCCGCACGCGGGGGTGCTCGGTTTCGCCGAGGAAAGAAAACCGAGAAACGGCGTGGCACGACTGTAGAAGCGGGTCTGCTGTGTGTCTTTGTAGGGCACTCGCTGACTCGTGGGACTGAACTCTTGTGAGAGAAATGTGCACGCGACAAATCGCTCATGTGTTTTGGACTTAGAGCCAGCTGTGGACTGCAACTGCTTTGTGTGACTGCAAGAGGGAGGCCAGTGTTACAAGACATGATCATGTCTGTTGGACTCACTGAATGCAAGGAAACTATGAATGGACTTTTCCCTTAGTCTGTAACTTATTGCTCATAACTTAAACAGAGTAATATATGTGTGTGTTCAAACTAATGCTGTTTCAATAAATTATTGTCTGGAAATGGAATATCTTGACTCAAGTGTGTTTATATGGGGTACTTGGGGTAAAACCTCACATTATTCAGGCTCTCACTACCTAAGGGATAGATTAGGCAAACATAAGTTAAGGCACATAATATTCTCAGTTTGCTGAGGGAGAGTCTTCACATCCTCATCTACTGGAATCTGCGTCATATCCCCGCTGTCAGTTGCAACACTGCGCTGAGGGAACAGGGACTTGAGGTCATTCATGTACTGTTTACTTTGGCAAGCAATCCACTCTAAGTGATCCAATTAGAGTTCTCTCAGATGAGCTCATCTTGCATCTAACCAAGTGCTCTCGATATTGATATTTGGATCAGATGGTTGAGAATAAAATGGGTATATAGGTCATACTGAAAACTCAGGCAAACATGCAGGTCTCATCCTGACCTTTACTAGAACCTTTGCTTTGGTGGGAGCACCTACCCAGTCAACACAGAACTCAAGGTTAGCAGCAGCAAACAATGTTTTACCACACTTAATATCATGTATTTGAGATTGAAGCAAATTAGTGGAGATATTCTTATATATTGTACATAACTAGATTTTAACTACATAACAAATACCGTTTCTGGTCCCTCAATGATATAAACAATCAAAAACTAATAAAAAAACAAACTAATCAAAAGGCCAGTTCAACACCATGAACAACATAGAAACTGTATCTACCTCAAAATGTAAACTCTCTATTGCTTAAACAGGTCGAACAGCATTTCTCACACCAGCTTAGATTACCAGTTATAGAAATATGTACTATTACATCTGACCAAGTCTTCTCTGTGGTGCATAAACATATCAAAATCTAGATCAGATGGTTAGGAATGAGTATATAGGTCATACTGAGAGCTCCGGGAAGCTTGCTGCTCTCATCCCAACCTTTACAAGAAGTTTTGATGTGGGTGCCAGTGAATGAAGTGAAGGTTATTATTGGTTCACAATGCCCCTCATACTTATCATTATGTATTTGAGATGCAAACATTTTACATGAGGTGTGGTCACAGTTTAGTGCTCTATACTATATTATACATTGTGGTTGGATCTCAAATGGATTCCTAGTCTCTTGCACTGCATAAGTCGTGAAATGATGAATTCAACAATTAAAAACAGATTTAGATGCCAAAGAGATACATTTGGGATTCCACCATAGCCTGCACATTACTGTATTTGACATTTAGTGCACCATCTAATTGTAAAAGCCATACTTTTGTGACTTATGTAGTGCAAGGGAGTCGGGAGCTATTTGAGATTCAGCCCATGTATCTCCAAAATGAAAACTTCACAGGAGAAGCCTTCTTAACTTTTAATGTAAGCTAATGTAAAAAGTTTTTAACTCCTCATTTGGACAGTTTCTACTGGTCCATCCATTGTGAGATGTTCACATAGTGTAAAGGGCAGGTGCCTTGGTCAAATGATGTCAAAAAAGAAGTCATGGTTTTAATATGACAGCGACGATATGACTACCCCTCTGGGGTCCACGAGCACACCAGTGCATGTCAAATTCAGCCTTTCTATATATGTTTGTCTTAGTGATAACACAGTACAGAAATATGGTTCAAACATTTCCTGAATCTGTGGAGTCTGCCTTTTCCATTCCATCTTATAACAAGATGATAAGTCAATCACATCTGGAGTTATGAGGCCGTGAAGAGGGTCGACTGGTAGATTGTGTGTCCATCTACATTATGATTGGAAACTGACCAATGGACATTCAGAAAATCACCAAGGACTGACCCATCACATTAAAAATCCTTTATTCTTTATTCAGTCAACATTGGAGAGTGAAGAGTTTACAGCTGCTGAAATGGCTACAGCGATTGTGGAAATTAGCGACAATGATAACAGATTTTGGATATGAAATATATGAATATCACTCATGTTATATGCAAATGCATTCAATAGGCAAATTTAAGTAGATGTGCTATATATATATCAATGTGTGTGTGTCAATACAAGTGCTGAATGTCACTATCAACAAATGAGAAACTTCAAATCCCTCAACTTGTAACTGATTACTTAATAGGTAGAAAATGGAAAATGTGGGGTTTTATGTCACTGAACGTCAGTGATCATGCATGTATTTCCCTCATGTGTTAAACTCGACTCCACTGCACTTTAACTTGAGCTGGTACTGCATAACTGATTCACTCCAGAGTGTAGGCTACAGTCACGCCAAATCAAGCGCAACATTTATGGTATCAAAACCCAAATCAGCAATATTCACCCAATATAAAATTATTCCATGCCTATTTTCTCCACTGAGCATAACATGTGCGTCTCTGAGTGAGAGAGTGTTTGTGGGCATCCCCCGAGCTAATTATGTATTCCACTCTACTTACGTAGCCTATCACTGATTACGCATCGGTATCTCCGGAAACGTCATTGACCAAATATGGGCAAATCTGAGCGCTTCTCGGAGGTTCCAGTGGGGAGTGAGAAGTCTGAACACAACGAACTGCCTTTTCAAAGACGCCTAACACGGGCTGGGCTGCTTGTCTCGAAATGGACCAGCGGAAGCAGCACGACTGTTCGCTGGCAGTTACACAGAAGGTACGCGAGGAATGCGGAACAACTCACTTCCTCAGAGAGGGAGAGAGAGAGAGAGAGAGAGAGAGAGAGAGAGAGAGAGAGAGAGAGAGAGAGAGCTTTCTGTCACACACGAATCACACCTGTCTGTTCTCTCATTGTGATAATGAGCACTGGCGTTTACTGTCGCCTACACACTCTGAAAAGATGGTTCTTCAAGGGTTCTTCAGTGTTCAGTTATGTTTAGAACCACTTTATGCTAAATGGTTATTTTGCATGGTGAACTGGATCGCTCAGAGGGTTAACCTTTTCTATATAGTACCAAAAAGTGTTCTGCTATTGTTACAAGGTCAAGCAGAACCTTTTTTGGTACTATATAGAACCATTTTCAAAAAGGGTTCTAACTAGAACCATATACTACACATTCTCCATCAATCTAAAGAACCATTTCACCATGCAAAGAACCATTTGCGCATCAAATGGTTTTATATGGAACTTGTACATATGTATTGGCCATTATAGTAATACCTACTCAGTGGTGGTCCTGTGGGGGAATAGGGAGGCTAACAAATTATGCAGAATACAACCTGTATAGTAATGGACAGTGATAAAATGGACAGTGAGTGTAGATTCAAGATAAAATCTATAATAATAAAGTGGAGACGGGGTTTATATATACATACCCGTTTAAAAAGGTGGTTCTTTAAAGGCTCTTTAATAAACACAATGGTTCTATTTAGAACCATTTGCATGCTTAAATGGTTCTCTGCATAGTGAAATGGTTTGATATCGAATCTTTCTGAAAATGGTTCTGTATGTCAAGCTTGTAACAATAGCAGAACCTTTTTTGCTGCTATATAGAACCATTTTCAAAAAGGTTCTATACAGAACCATATACAACACATTCTCCATCATTCTGAAGAACCATTTCACCATGCAAAGAACCATCTAAGCATGCAAATGGTTTTATATAGAACTCATGGTTCTAAAAAGAACCATTGCCTTAACTAAAGAACCCTTGGAGAAACATCTTTTTTAAGTGTGTACCAGCAACAAAATCCCAAGCTATCTATAACCAGGGCCAAATATATTACTGGAATTTTGTTGCTGGTGTGAATCAAGTCAGCAAGTTTTGCTTGCTGATTAGAATTAGCTACAGTCCATTTATATATAATTGAGCCTGTGTATAAATATATATTTATACACAGAACTCTAAATTGCAATAGGGCTATTTTCTAAATGCTGGAAACTAGAGCTGGACTATGTGGCTATGCAAGCACAGAGGGATAGAGGGATGGGTGGAGAGACGGAGATCAGGCCCTAAAAAAACTGAGCAGTTCATGCTTTCTTCACACACACAGACGCAGACATAGACACGTTCTGCCTGGCCCCGGATAATCCCCCCCCCCACACCTCTCTTCCTGCACATAAAGCCTTGATCTGTGTGTGATCTGTAATGACTGTGTGCCACCCAGCCTGCTGCTATTTCTGCGCCCCAGCCTGACTCCCTCGCTGAGGTCAGCAGGTACACGGAGTCTGGCAGCAGCGCCGCGTCTTCGGCTCATGCGCACGGAGGCCCGTTCCCACCCACAGAATGGGCCCTTTTACAGCCCGGCCACCTCGGACAAATTTTGAGGCCGCGACAGAAGCGGAGGGTTTTATGGTACTGGTGCCGTCCTGCGTCCCTCAACCAAATCAAGAGGGCTGTAAAAGCCGCTCCGTTCTGAATGCTCCCATTTTGCAGAGCACCATGTGATGCCTTTAATCAACACAGCTCCAGCGCTTTATCTCACCACCATAAACCAGTAGCTCATGCTTAATTAAACATACCAATTACTGGTTTACTGCAGATGTGGAGTGAGTGTTCTAGACCAAGAGGAGATGGAGTTCATATGGCACTGCAGAGCTGCCAGAAGAAGGATGTGACTGGAGACACATGCAGGAAATGAGTACATGTAGAATGTTATCTGTTTCTGTGGAATATTAAATTGGGACATAGAACAATAACCTAGAAGCACTCAGAAAAACTTCATGCAGTCATTTATTGGGAAGCATTACAAACATTATGTGTCATAGCAACTGTTAAGGAAGCATGTTAAGAGGTCCTAAACAATACAAAACTTTCTTGTTGGTTTTTCCCAGAAAGCACAGTATACATAAGGTCAGTTAGAAGATTTTAATTACCTTAGACAAATTTAGATTTTTTATTTTATTTATTTTTTTATTAGAAAACATGTTTACCAACTTGTCATCACATGGACCCACAGTCTGTTTTCAAATACAGACTTCAACAGATGTTTGGCCTTCACTCTTAAACAAACACTTTGACTGAAATAAAAGAAAAAAAACATTGCTACAGCTGGACATCTGTTGTAAACATGCTTGTTCACATCCTACAGCAGCAGTGCAGTAGTCTCAAGAGTAAGATTATCTGGTTTAAGACTAGAAAAATCCATTTCATTA